TTCTCTTCATACAATATTACAATTTTTCATTTTGTCTATTTTCAGGCTAACAATTTTGGAATTCAACCTTTTACAATTGTGTAGTAACTCTATATCTAATAATGCCCCCCCCCCCTTTTTTTCTTTTAGCTGAGCCATCCTGCCACCTGTTGGTAGCTCAGAGGCAGCTCAGCTCAGACCGGGAATGGAACCGGTGACCCTGTTGCTCAGAGCTCGCACTCTTGAACAAGCTCTTACCCAACTGAGCCAATTAGCCGGCCCCTAAAAATGCTCTTTAAAGAAAAAGTCAGTATAGTTATATATTTAAATTATTATGTCTGACAAGACTGTAGCTATCTCAACTTTCTCTTGTGTAGTATTTGCTGGATATATCTTTTTCTTCAGTTGTCCAGTGCCCTTGAACTTTAAGTGTTTTTCTTGGAAACACACGTAATTGGATTTTAAAAACAACATCTATAATCTCTGTTTAACTGGCAAGGTTAGTCCATTTACATTTATTGTAATTATTGTTATATATTGACTTATATATACCATTTTGGTTTTTCTTTCTGATTATCTGTTTGGTTTTGCTATTCACTTTTTACTGTGCTTCCTTACACACACCCCACTCCCAATTTTTGGCTTTCTTTGAGTTATTATGTTTTTAAATTTGTTTCCTTGTTTTGCTTTTCCCTTTGCAAGTTGAAAGTTGTATATACTATTTTATTATTTTTGAGATCACTTTGGCGTTTTACTAACATATTTAAGTTAACTTTGTCTAAAGCTCTCTCCTAAACAAACAATATCCTAGATTACTTCCTCTTACCTTATATGATATTGTCTACTATTGTCTATCATTTTGTTAACCTTGCATATTAAAGGATAATGTTTTAATATTTGTTTAAATCTGTGTCCATTTACACAATTTTCATGATTTCTTCTTACATCTCAAATCTTGCTTCTGAGGTGGTTTTTGTTTGTTTGTTTGTTCGCTGGTTGTTTTTTTTTTTGCCTGAATTATATTCTTTAAAAGTTCCTTTAGTGGAGATATATTAATGAAAAATTCTTTATCTTATTTTTTCTGAAAATGTCTTTACCCACATTTCTAGGTACCAATTCTGGGTTGATAGATATTTTCTCTCAGTATTTTGAATATATTATTGTATAATCTGTTTAGTTTTAAATTCTTGGTGATCTGTCATTTATTATGGCTGTTTGTAAGAGCCTCTCTGTCTTGGATGTAATGCAGTTTCATTAAACTTGTGTTTTAGTATAGATTTCTTTTTGTTAATTCTGCTTGGGATATGTTGTGATTCCTATCTCCATTGATTAATATATTCAGCAATTCTGAAAATTTCCTTTTTTTTTTTTTCAAATATTGTCCTTATAGTCTATCTACTCTTTTATGGAACACTAATTATATTTGTATTATGCCATCTCATTCTGTTTTCCATGCCCTCATTTCTTTTTCTCCTCATGCTTCATCCAAGCTGGTCTAACATGTACTTTATTATTTCTGTCTTTGGCTACTTCTAATTTGATATTTCAATCGTCCTTGAATTTTCCCACATACGTTTTTCAGTGTAATAGATCTTAGTTCCTATTCAAAAGCTACCTGTTCATTTTGTTTACATTCTTTTTATATTTGCTCATATTTGTAGTTGCCTTTCATAATTACTTAAACATTTCATTGGGAGTAATTTTATATCTGTCTCTGACAGTTCCCATATCTTAAGCAGTTGAAGGCCAAATATGGGGTTTCTTCTAATTTTCTCTTGTTTTGACTTGGTTTTTTTGTATATTTGGTGAGCTCATATTTAATTAATATTCATGATATTAGGGGTGTACTGCTTAAAAAGAGTGTACTTAATGTAGAAAACTCAGGGTCAATCCTCTACTTCAAAGCTTCCGCTAGCAAACTCTTAGTCTGTGCGTCATATTTCTTTTCTTTTTTTTTTTT